GACCACAGAGAGTCAGGACCTCGGTTTAACGTCTCATCTGAAAGACGGGCAACAACGCTAATGGAATAGGGCTGCGTTTCTCGAAACATTCTTAAGACTACGTCATTCTTAAGTTATATCTTATCATTAACGCGTTTTCGGAAACTGTCTTCATTAAGTGTACCCTCTTTAAGTGATAGTTTCGTATGAATTTACGATGGATTTTTGAGAGTAAGGGTTAGGCACGATTGAGTTTCATTAACTAATTTCGAGAGGAGCACGTGATATGATTGTGCACCGCTGGCCACTCATCCGTAATCAGTAATAATCCAATCAGAGCTATCCTAGCTTAATATAAATGGATCTCTTTCTCCTTATTGCTCTATCTTCATTTTGGAAGAATCCCCCCTTCCACCCCATCTCCTCCTTTTTCTCCCCTTTCTATAGGGGGAGCTATGGAGACCTACCTAATCTCGGATCCCCTGATATGCTTATTGACCGGGCGGGAACCCTGGGCTCAAATATCTCCGAGCTCAGGGTTCTCTCCTGGGACAGCATGCCAAACCTGCTTTGAATGCCAAGCATATCTAAGTGGGAACTCTTGAAATATCTTGTAAAATTTTTCCCCTTTTACAGAGAACATGACAAGAAAATCAAAACCAAATTCAGTATATATCAATATTCTATAATTAATTAAATTATTGCGTATCAATAGCATCTCTCTGACAAGCAAATTATATACATCATTAAAATGTCACAAGAGTGGTCTAAATAGGGATTAGGTAAACAGTTACTCACAGTTTTACCAAACAACTCACCAGCACCTGCAGAGACACATTCGTTAGAAGGTAAACCTTAAGCAACCAAGTAATTGTTTAATTTACATAGCAGTTTTCTGGAAACTCTAAGCACTTTAGACATTTTGGGGGGGATGACGCTGCGGTACCCATTTTGCACCAGACCGCACACCATGAGAGGAGACCAGTGGGCAAATTTGGCCAAGATGCTGGGGTTAAACCCATACTATTTGAAGGACATCCAGGAATTTTTAACGACCACAGAGAGTCAGGACCTCAGTTTAACATCTCATCTGAAAGAAGGTGCTCACTTAGAAGTATAGAGTCCCTATCAATATACTGAGGCGTTAGGACCCACACAGACCGCAGGTTGATTGTCCCCTGCTGGCCTCACTAACACCACTTACGGAAGCAACCTAGCTTTCCCATATGGTCTCCCATCCAGGTACTGATCAGGCGCAGCCCTGTTTAGCTTCAGAGGGCGACCATGTGAGAGTTGCAGAGAGCTAGCTGCCGACAACATTCTAAGAAATGTTATAACTTTAATTAAGATGTACCTTAAGAAGTCTTTGTAGCCTACTCAAAGACAATGATATCTGCGAATGAAGCCCAGTCACATATCCCTACTGCTCGAAGGGGAAAAACCCTGTGGAGGCTTGGGCAACTTTTCCAAAAAGAAGGGCTTTCCTAATTTTTCGCGTCCTCGTAAACAAACTTCCGAATCATAGTTTTAAGTGTGCGATTAAATCTTTCCCCTAGCCTGTCCATTTGAGGGGTGTTCGAACACACCCCCACCCCATCTGCCCTCCAACCCCCACCCACCCAACTGTGAATGGTTTTCACAGATCTGTGTATTGTATTATATTATAAATCCAAAGGTGTTATCTATGTGCCAAACACACAGCATATACTATAACGTTTTTTTGATGTTTGATGACACAAATGCTTTTTATAATAAACAGATTTCAATTCTAAAAGGATCAATGTTTGTACATAGAGCACATCAAATATTGTCAGTGGCAGCTCAGTTAAACTTTCCTTTTAATCTTTATAATACTAAAATAATTAATAATCCAAAAAATTTTTAATAATTTTGGACTCTTTTCAAGGCCTCAGATAATATGTTTTTAAATGTGTTTTTTTTGGGATGAACAGATGCTGTCTTGTGTGTCTGGGGATCCCATACTTTCATCTGTTAAGACAAGTCATGCATTCAATTTGGAAACAAAATACAGAAGTATAATCTAAAAAAAATATATATATATACTGTGATTAAAGGTAGTGCTTTCGCCTCACAGCATGAAGGTCACTGGTTCAAGCCTCGGCTGGGACAGTTGGCGTTTCTGTGTGGAGTTTGCATGTTCTCCCTGCATTTGCGTGTGTTTCCTCCGGGTGCACCGGTTTTCCCCACAGTCCAAAGACATGCGGTACAGGTGAATTGGGTAAGCTAAAATTGTCCATAGTATATGAGTGTGAATGAGTTTGTGTGGATATTTCCCACAGGGTGCGACTGAAAGGGGTTCCGCTGCGTAAAAACGTGTTGGATAAGTTGGTGGTTCATTCTGCTGTGGCGACCCCGGATTAATAAAGGGACTAAGCCGAATAGAAAATGAATAAATGAATGAATAAAATCAACTAATATGATAAATCAGTGTTTCCACCAGGTTCAAAATCAACATACCACTTCTAACATGTCATCTAATTCATGTCATATAATGTCAAGCACCAGATTGCCAAATTCTGGGATATTCTAGTAGTAGTTGTAGAGCATTAAAAACATTAAGCGTGCAGATTTGGCTAGGATTTAGGGTTCTCCTGGACAGTATGGTGCATGTAAACGTGGTGTATGTCACACTTCTGCTGATGCAGTGCCTTGAGGTGAGTATCAAGGACAGGCTGATTATACCACTTGAATACTAATGCAACAATTTACACTTTTGCCTCCATTTAAGCATACTGAGGTGACTAAGAGGACACACCAGGAGTACAGCTAGTGTTACACTTAACAGTTCTTGAAATCTGTGCTGTCTGTATGCAACCCACATAATGTAGCCTAAAGCTGATCTTGCTCTACTTCTCTGTCAGTCTCACATCCGTGTACTCCTCCAGTTTTATACATTTGTACCTATTTCTTTTTGATATATCTGTTTTTTATTATTATTATTATAGACCATTTTGAGGAACGTAAACAAAACATTGATCCTAATGCATTTCCTGTTTTACATTTTTAATTTCCGCTTAACTTCCATTCATTCATTCATTCATTCATTCATTCAATCAATCATTTTCTATTCGGCTTAGTCCCTTTATTAATCCTGGGTTACCACAGTGGATTGAACCATCAACTTATCCAGGACATGTTTTATGCAGCGGATGCCCTTCCAGCTGCAACCCATCACTAGGAAACATCCATACACACTTGTTCACACTCATACACTACAGACAATTTAGCCTACCCAATTCACCTATACCACAAGTTTTTGGACTTGTGGAGGAAACCAGAGCACCCGAAGGAAACTCACGCGAACACTAGGAGAACATGCAAACTCCACAACTGACCCAGCCGAGGCTCGAACCAGTGACCATCTTGCTGTGAGGTGATTGTGCTACCCACTGCGCCACCGAACTGCCCCGCTTAGCTTTCAAGCTAATAATTTCCGAATAGCTTCCAAGAATTAAAAAAGGTCAACAAATTGAGAAACGATGTTAAGGATAGCTGTTTTTAGATTAAGTTATGATTGAACTGCCTCTTATTACAGTTATAAAATAGTTTAACAACAAGCAGGAAATGTTTATGGGCCAATGACATCACCACATTGAAATGGTCTATATTTTGAATATTGTATTCCAACAAGTTTCTTATGTTGTTTCTTTTGTCCCTCCAACACCCAGTGGCTCTAAGCAGGTAAATCAATCAGGTGTGTGTTTTTGGTAGCGTCCCTCCAGTAGAAATTCTGCTAGTATTAGATGTAGTGTCCTTTTTCAACCCAGGCTCATTGGAAATGCATGTCTGCCTACATTTTTGCAAAATAGATTGCTCCGGGAACGTTTCGTTGAACGTTTCAGGTGACAAATCCACTAGAGGGCGCTGTCTACATTTTTGGGAATCAAATGTGCATATATTGATAACTAAGTGTTTTTGTGTTTTAAATCTATTAATTCAAATAACGTTAAATTGAAATACGTTACTTTTTGCTGTATGTGTCACGTGAACGTCCCTCGTTTACATGTCCACAAGAAGGCGTAGCCCTGATTGTGGTAATATTTGAGGAAAGTCCTTAAAAATCATACCTTATGGCATTTTTTGACATTCGGTTTAGGTGTAGCGCCATATAATGAGCGTTTTTTAGAGTATAAAATACATCACGCCTATGGAAAGTCCTCGTAAACCAAAATGTGTGTAGTTAAGTGTGATTATTTGGGTTCCAAACATCAAAATGACCTGATGGTGTTTAAATGATTTTTGGTGAACTATCCATTTAATACCAAGCTGAAACTGAATCAACATTTAGAATTTGACTTGTGACAAACTGTTCTAAAGTTCTTGACTGCTCCATAAATATAAGAAGGTGATTTCACACTCCAAGACACCCTTCAGACTGAATATCATCACTGCTGTGTGTTTTAAAGTAATACAGACTGGAGTTTTGATTAGAGTGAAGCCACAGCAGTTTTCTCCTCCGTGCTCTAGTTCCACTTCACATGTGCCACTTCTTGCGTCCCACTCATTCCACTGTTAGGAGAGATCTGGGATCAAAGGGAAACACACAGACTCCGACTTTAAAAAATCCCACTGCTTGTTCCAGGCAAAACTCCACAAATCCTGTCACACATACTGGGATTTGGAAACAAGCAATGCGATGCCAACTGGGAACCTTCCAGCTCTGTTCTATTAAAACTCTTGCTTGATCAATCAGAATAAAAGATAATTACAGTTACAGAACTACAGTAAAGTAAATTGATGAATTCATGAGTAGTAAGTGGTGACAATGTTCTGTCATCCTTAGTAAAAAATGTATATATATATATATATATATATATATATATATATATATATATATATATATATATATATATATATATATATATATATATATATATATATATATATATATATATATATATATATATATATATATATATATATATA